ATTTTACATAATGACCAAGTTTTTGCTTCACTATGATTCTATTAATCATTTTAATAACTTTAAGTCTGTTTTACGAAACTTAAAGTTATTTGGAAAGGTAATGGCATTAAACTTTTGCTGCATATAATTTTGAATAATTTAAACGATTTATTAAAACAATATTTTTGTGGTTTGGAATAAAATATTTTTGTCTGTATGTCTAATCAAATCTTGGCAATTTATGATCTCATATTTGTTTTTAGATAACTTTTATTAAAATAACTTTTGTTAAAATAATGTTTTGGTTTAGATACAATGTACCTAATGTACGATACACTTGTATATACTTCCGTACATTTTTTTTTTAATAATTAGTATCTCGATAACTATTGCGAAGATCGCAAAATGATAGAGGACTTTTTTGTTCAGTTTGGTCCATACTACCTGCCCACAAGCGCTGTACCATCGAGTACGAGACATCCTGTATATATATATATATATATATTTGTATTTAGGCGTACAGTGCTTCAATAGTCTTGGAAGAATATCTGCATAAAGCTACAGTAAATGACGATAAGATGAAGAATTTTGCAGTACAAGCAACAGATGATCTATTTCAGTACGTTAGTGAGTATATCAGTATTTAGCATTTTGCGAAATAAAATACTTACGACAAAAAATAGAGAGTAAACTTGCAAAGCACATATATAACTTTTAGATTCAATGAATAAGGATTTGTCATGCTACGAGACAGAAACAGGAAATTTCAATGATGTTATTCAAGTCGCTATCGATTTGACAATTATTCTCGATATAACGTGGTCTTTTGACGACATACAGCCAATTCTTGCGTAAGTGTAATAATTTACTTGTAAATATAAGCTATCTTAGATAAACGTAATTTCAATGCACAAAAAAATTTTTTTTTTCTTGATAGAAATATATTGGAAAATATCAAGATAAATCGCCACAACAGTCAATTTACAATTATTAACGGTCATAATGGCAATATCATGTTAAATACTACCAACAGTATTTTAGACTTTGGGTATTATAATATAACGAATTATAATAATATAGCAAATGGTATGTTTGTGCACAGATTACATAATATATCTCTCAAATAATTATATTCTATTACGAGTGGTTCAATTTAAAAATAACTTTTTTCAGTTACTGACAATAGGAACTTTGATCTTCCTAAGTCACTTCAACAATTACGTATTTTACAAACAAAGAAATTGAACGATGAACGTTATGGTTTTGGAAACGCAAAATCTGACGTAGTTTTAATTATTCCTTATACATCATCTCTCTCAAATTCCGACAAAGAATATGGCTTAGAGCAGATCAAGAAAATGCGAGAACAAGTACCGGGTAAATAGTTAATTGCTTTTCATATAAAACTGCGAGCTGAAATTATTACATTGATCTTTTAATCCAGAAGTATTCTAGTTTTCCAATTTTCATGATAATGTAAATTTATTGAATGATATGAATGTGAATAAAATTTCATCACTGATATTATTGCAGATGCCACATTACTTATATTGACTTATGGACCGAAGGAGAGATGGGCAGATTTTGTAGTTGATATAAATGACTTGTTTTCGACAACCACATCGGGCGATATAGGAGGTTCAACAACGATTGCTAAATTGATTTCGAGAATAAAACAAGGTAGGATGTGTAGGACAAACAATCATTTGATATCGTTTCTCTTGAAATCTACAGAATTCTACAATGATTCATCGTGTTGTTGCAGTTCCACAACGGTTGATCAATACGCAATGTGGAGCCAATTATTCTCCTGCTGATGGATCTAAATCCAATTCGTTTATCGATTATATTGAACCATCTACGATTATCTCTTACAGAATGCATCCTAATTATTTCTTTTCCACCGATAGTGGCCGTTCTTCTAAGATAAATGTAAAACTTGTCCTACACAAACAATCATTAATTGAACTTATTTATTTTAATATATATATATATTTTTTTTAATTTTTAGATTGAAGGACCCGGTGGGGATAATCTGAAAGTGTGTGTATCGCGAAGTTTCAAAAATATTAATACGACAAATAATTCATCGTGTGAGTCGTTAAATAATAAATATACCATTACGTTTTCCTGCAATGGGGCTGGTTTGATACACCTTTGTGAGCCATTATATCTATCGATAATTGCCAATTCTTCAACTATAAATTTTGAATGTACAGGTAAGCATAGAAAATTATAAAATAATTTGAATTAAAAATTTAATGATTTAATTATAGGAATATGCAAATAATTATAGCAATGTTAATGTCACAGTCTTTCTCTTAAGTATCTGTGTACTAAATGAACATTATCTGATTAAGATGTTAATATCTTTTTTTATGTATCTCCTAATATGTTTGTATTTCTTTAGGACCAGAGTGCAAATTCCCTCATATGATCAAATACACCATTTCCTATGAGAATTTGGTATGTGAAAGTAATGCGAACATAAATATGCTAAATATCTTTGTTTTAATCATAAGTATGATATATACATTTCTATAATGATATCAAAAATACAAATTACACAAGTTAATTTTTTTTAACAAACAAAATCATATCAGTGTGTTTCAACATTAGTCAAGTTAGAATTAGAATTGTAAATATCATTTAATACTGCCCTTTTATTATCCAATAGACAGAGGCCAGACATTTTGTAATCATTGTATTTGTATATGTATATTGATGACGCTGATAGTTTCAAAATAATAAATTGTAAAACTTGCTTGAATAAATAAATTGATACTTAGATAAATGGTGTTGCTTTATTAAATAAAAGGTTTACAAAGAGTCACTGTATGGTCCACTCCACAGGCAACCTTTCTCACTTGAGCTCCCACTGCGACCTGTTACAAGAAGACATCAAAGTGTTATTCGTCGACAGAAAACCTTCATTTTATCTATACAATCATAAAATTAATTGTTCGGACAATGCGTCATTACATTGATTTCTTCAAATTATTATTCAAGTGTTAAAAATTGTGCTTCGTATTTAATTATATTTGGACATAGCTTTTATATGTGGACAACTAAACTTCACACTGTGTGTGAAACTATCAATATCGTAATGCGTGTTATAGAAGCAATAGCAACAAAACGTACGTCTTTTCTGTTTCTATTATAGAAATTTTATTTGTCATAATGAACTTCATATATTACATAACATTATTATTAGAATCTAATAGCCGCTAATGGTTTAAAAAAATATTTAAAAAACATCCCTTTTTATTTTAAAAATATAAATATTGGTATAGAATATTAACAAAATTATAATTTATAAATTGAGAATGTCTAAACAAAAGAAAATCTTATTTTAAATATATAAAAATTAAGGATGTTTAATACGTACAATAGTAGCAAAAAGTTAAAGGACTGATTTTGACGAATATGCTCTTCTCATATAGTTTGAGTAATAAGGATTGTGCAGAATGTTATCATTTATTCAGAACTAGAGCGCAGAAATGCTT